CAGTGTGGGGACCGGCTCTGCACGGGGGGCCACGGGGTCCGGCAGCCAAGCGGAGCAGGCAGCTGGACGTGTGTGCTTCTCTGCTGGGGGGTTTTCCTGGGCAATAAGGCAAGGTGCTTGACGTTACGAGAAAAGCGGCCAAGTGCAGAGTGCTGGACGAGGGGCGGTGAGACTCAGTCTGTCTTTCCCAACTTTGCTATCAGCTCATCGCAGATCTTGGTCAGCTCCTCAATCTCCTGGTTCTGGAAGAAAAGCAGACCTTGAGGACCCCCGCGGCGGCACAGATGGGGGATAATGGCCGGGCCCATCTGCCACCGAGCCAGCGCAGGAAGGGGCAGCCAGCTCCTACGCTGCCCCTGCGAAAGCTCCCCCATGCAGCATCCTGGTGCTGCAGGGACCCTGGGGCTCAGCCCTCCTCATCCCCAACAGACCCCGGTGCTGCACAGAGACCCGCAGCTGCCCAGCTGCAGCCCACCACGCTCTGCTCAGCCACGTGTCGGCTGGTGGGCACAGGTGAGCAAGCTCTGCCCACGCTCCAAGACAGCCAAACGCATGCCAGCCCTCGACCAGCAGCCACGTCGCTGCACGCAGCCATGCCTACGCCTGGGCAGAGCCTGCATCTCCTTCCCTGCGAGAGGACACGGGATGCTCAGGGCAGCAAAACGGTACCTGGAAACGCAGAGCAAAGCCAGCGCGGCTCACAGAGAGGAGGCAGGGCGGGCGCGTTACCTTCTGCTGGAGGGCTCTCTCCAGGGACTCCACCTTCATCTGCTCCTTGCGCAGCCCGGCGTGCAGCGCCGCGCTCTCCGCTTTGGCCTTCATGCGCACCTGGGCGATCTCCTCATTGGCTCTGCGGTGGGGTTTGGAGAGAAGGGGACGGTGGTCACGTCTTTGGGTGCAGGCAGGAGCACCGCGGCACAACTTTAGACCACGCGGCGTCGGCTCTTGCTTGCCTGGATGCATCAGAGGTGGTTTTCCCATATCACAGAATCATAGAATAGTTTGGGTTGGAAGGGACCTTTAAAAGTCATCTAGTCCAACCCCCTGCCATGGGCAGGGACATCTTCAACCAGATCAGGTTGCTGAGAGCCCCGTCCAACCTGACCTTGAATGTTTCCCGGGATGGGGCATCTACGGAAAACCTGCATGAAATGGGATTAATTCACCTCCTCCGAACTCCCGAATGGAAACTCCTTTCTCAGAGCGAAGCTAAACCAGTTCCTCACCCACTTCACTCGGGGCTACCGTGTGTTGGTGAGCTACTGCTCGTCAGCTGAGCCTCGGTAGCTGCACAACCCCTTCGCACACTACAAACATGAGCCCTCTGAAACACGGAAACTTGTTAAGTGACTGTAAATAGACCGTAAACCTCAGTTTCTCCATTAAAAAAAACTAAGCAGAGATCAGAGAATCCATTCAGGGATTTGTGCTGGCTTACTTACAGCCATTTTAAGTCACTTGAGCCTAGGGTTGTAAAAGGCAGCTTTTCACATCAATAAGCTCCTGCCTTCCACCTCAGGAAAGCCAAATGGAGACACTGCCCTACAAGGTCTTTAAGCACCCAGAAAGCTCCTCAGCGTGCCCAGAGATCTCATGCATGACCTTACTTGTCTAATTTTTCTTCTGCATGGACTTTCAGGGCCTGATACCGCTGCTCCTCTTGCTTGACCCGGGCTAAATAATCTTGAGCACACTTTTTCAGAGCTTCTTCATTCTGCAAAAAAAAAGTACATCCATCTGCATTGGGACTGAGCACAGAGAAGTTGCTCTGACGGGATGATATATCCTGTTCTGAGGCTTTAAATAGAAACAGCTTCTCCCTTATGCTGGAGCCCCTCATCCAGCTCAGCAGCATGGAAAAACGGTGTGTAGATGGAGGCAGGGTTTCTCGGGGCGCTTTGCCCCGGTGCCTGCTCTTCCCTTGGCTGCAGCTCTGCCCAGGGCACGATGCGCCGCTGCCGGCAGCTCAGCAGGAGAGCACCGGGAGGAGCGCGGAGAAGAGCCGGCTCCCCGGAGAGCCCGGCTCCCCGCACTGGTGTCCCCTGGCATTTCAAAGACTCTTTGCTCGTTTATTGGAAAGTGGGCAGAGGAAAGCAAGTGAGCAGTCCTCCGAGGAAGGGCCGGGGCATTTGAAGCAGCACTGTGTGGGACAGGGACAGCCGTGGTGCTGCAGCATGGGACAAGGCGGGGGCAATGCTGCATGGGAACGCTGCACCGAGAAAGAGGAGACCAAGGTAAGGACCTTCTTAAAGCCTTCTAGGACGCCCTTCAGGTTTTCATATCTCCTGAAGAGATCTGACAGGGACCTCTCCACCGAGTTTAGGTCTGCCAGCGCCTGGTCCTTTTCCATCGTGAGCTGCTGCAGGTTCTTCTGAGACGTCATGTTTGTCCTCTGCTCATCCTCTGTGATGGAGAACAAACAGCGGGGGCACAGCGTCTGAGTGGGGACGGCTGCGGCAGTCAGCTCCCCGCCCCGCACACCCGGCCAGGCGACGGCACCTTACCTATCATCTGGGCAATGGTCTTCTCATACTCAGCCACGATTTTCCTAGAAGGAAAGGAGAAAAAAAGCAGGTAAGAGGCAGCAGTTTTTTGTAGACATGCACCTACAGCTCTGCTGCCAGCAAACGGCCCCGGGGCCGCCCCTTCCCCACGCCACAGAGGCAGCCCAAGCAGCAGTCTGTCTGCAGAGCCCCAACTGTTGATGCTGCAACTCCCGCCATCGCTCCCCTACGCTAAGACCTCCCTCCAGCCGCTGCCGCTCGGCCCAGCGCAGCTAATGGGATTTTACTCCTGCAACAAAGAAACCAGCAGGCTCAACACAGCACAAGCACAAAGCGTACACGTCTCCTAACACGTCCCACCCTGACGATGCCGAGCCATACCATCCCATTACGGCCCCACTAACCCACCTCCCAACGGGGAACACGCAGAGCACAGCACGGCACTGTGCGGGGGAGCGGGCAGGCGAACGCACGAGGAGAAGGCTTTTACCTCATCTCTAAGACTTCCTGGCGGCTTTCTTCATATTTCTTCTTCCACTCGTTTGCTTCGATCTCCTTTGTGATTATCTAGGTTGCAGCAGACACAGGGCCCTTGGAACGCGCTCTGGGTGGTTTCCCTTGCTGCCCCGTGCCTGCGCTGCACAGGGGACCGGACCCCCTCGGGCAGAGCAGAGCTGCCCCCACTCCCCCCCAGCAGCAGCCGTCGGGGTCCAGCGAGGGGCAGCCCCGGGGCGGCTTCCATGATGATGGGAGGATGGGGTCCCCGGCCGTTACCTCCTCTCTGATGAGCGTGAGCACAGCCGTCTTCTCGGATTCACTGAGGCAGATGCCATCCAGGGGACTCTCGCTCCTGCTCACATTGGTGATGGCTGCGGGGGACTTGTCCATGGAGCACAGCCCGGGATTGCCCTGGGGGGAATTACCCAGCTGGGATGCTGCATGGATTTTCTTTTCACCTCGCCTCTCCTGTTTGGGGTGTTCTTCCCCATTTTATCAGCCTCTGTTCAGGGACTGAACCTCCCTACTGCACACACTGACGGCTCAGAGCCCGGTATCAGACACCCAGCAGAGCCCATACGAGGATTTTAGTGCACTTTCTGCCCAGCCCCTTGCCGGGAGCTGGGCTGCGCTGTAGGACACCCACGGGCTGCCCTGGGGCTTGGCATCCCAAAGGGGAGACCCAGGAGGAGCCCATTTCGGAAGGAGGAGACCCAGCTCTGCGCAGAGAAGTGCTCATACCTGACATCCCTTCGCTCTCCCCAGGGTTGATTTTAAACCATCTCCAGCCTGGAGGATCTTTGCTGACTGACGCCCCACGCGGGGGGCCTGCGAGGGTCCGGGTCACCTGAATCCATCACCTCCCAGTCAGGTGGAGATGTCGCTGCAGCCGGCGCATCCAAATTGCTGCCAGCAGCCGCAGGGACATTTGCTGGGCCCTGCTGATCGCCCCAAATGCACAAGGGAGCTGGCGGGGGGAGCAGGCTTCACCTCCCTGCGGAGCAGGGTCTGGCTGACCCAGCTCTCCGGCTGCTCCCGCTCCCCCTCCCGAGGGACAGCCCCACTCATCCCACGGTGTCCCAGCTGTCCGGGAGAGCTCAGAAATCGGAGATGCTCACACAGGGCTCCCAGCACCGTCCTGTTTCCATTAGGAGTGCTCCTACGAGGGACGAGGTGGTGGTACCCCATCGCTCACTGCTTTCTCCCCCCAGAGCCCAGCTCCTTTCCACCAGTGCCGCAGCTGCAGGGACCAAACTGGGGGGAGAGCTCAGCCCCGTGACCCAGGCACCGAGTCCTGCCTGGATGCCAGCCCCGTCCCTTCCCTCGGGGGGTCCTGCAGCCTGAAAGGCCTCCAGAAAAGCATTCCTTCAAATGCTTACACCACCGCCTGTTCCTCCTTCTATCATCCCAGCCGAAGTGACAGCCCCGTGCAGCCATCTCCTTGGGAACCGGCTGCCAGGCCATAAATAGAGAAGTGCTTCGGAGGAGGCAGTCTGCTTTTGCCGTGTTTTGGAAACGAGAGCACTAAAGCACTTCACCCCCTCCCCCTGCGCTTTGACTGCTGCCCAGGTTCAAGCATGGCCTCTCACAGCTCTGCTGCCCGGCGCAGCGGGCAAGCGATGGCCGGTGGCAGGAGCCACCCCCGGGTGCAGGTTTGGGTCCGGGCAGCCTAAGACTGGGGAGGTTCAGCCCCGGGGGGTTTTGGCAGCAGCCTCCCACAGCATCTCCCAAAAGCAGGCGCCCACCTGAACACCTGCAAGTACCTCTGCCCACTGCGGGCCCCACGGCAAACCCCACACCGTGCTTTTGGGATGGCCCGGCTCCTCTGCAGGAGCAGAGTCTGCCCACGCCCTCCCCAGCACCAAACAAAAGGTTCACTTTGCCTAATGTCCTTGTGGGGCTTAGCATAGTTAAATCTGTCTCAGAGAAGCTAATTTTGCTGATGTTGCTAATCTCATTGTCATCTGCTTGCCATCTCGAGCAGCTTTGGCCAGGGGCGGCTAAGCTGGCACGGGGTCCCCCCTGCAGTGCAGGGGTCTGGGGGCCACTCCGATGGCTCCTCGGGGCACATCGGGGTGCCCCCGTGAAGATGTGCCACTGCCGGGGTGCCAGGGTCACTGGTGTATACAGGCCTGTGTTCATTAACCCCCCCGCCCCTGCTGTCAGCTGCCTTCCCGAAAGCAGCGTTTGAGGACCCCTTGTAGAAGGCACAGGCACCAACCGGCCGTCAGAGCCAGCCCTGGACTCCTCCACATGAGAGACAGCCCTGTCCTGG